CGCCTCTCACGTAGGAGAGCAGGGAATCCCTGGATATAAGCGGCGTGCTGCCACGCTGCGCGGTCCTCGGAGACCCGGCGGCGCTTGACCAGGTGTTGACAGACTACAGGCGGCCGTCGAGTATGTCCCGGGGCTCTGGCTGCACGTTTCGCCTAAAATATGAGCTTTAGCAGTAGCTGAATCAACTCTATTGCATTTTTCGAGTTAGTTTTGAAACAGATTTCCACTATTTCCCCCAGAAAATGCGATGTTCATATGTGTCAGCACCGTAACGGAAACCTTCAGTCCGCCGCGCGCGAACTACCGCAGACACAACACAGTGATGGTTTCTTGCTCCTAAAAAGCAGGAGAAGTTATAATATTTACACAAAAAGTTTGTAATGGCAAATATGTGGCTGACTGTCCGTCACAGGCAGTGTCCACCGGGGCGTATCGGCGCCCAGCGGAAAGTTCAGGCGATACGAGGATACCTGGGGGTGATTTCGAGCACTCTCGAGCCACAGTTCATAGATTTACTTCAATTTTCCATTTAAATAAAGCAAAAAGAATTAGAGACAAAAACGGAAACCAAGTTCTGTTGAATTCTTCAGTGCTAAGCCTGCCAGGGCAATGCTCACCTCCTTCGAGCCCCTCACCCGGCAGCGTGACACACCCTACAGGTGGAAACCTCTCCTTTATACTCTCTTTTTGCTTAATATGTTTTTTAATGAAATTTTGCATTACTCATTGCATGCCTTTGTTGAGAACACCTCCTCTTTCAGAGCAGACGAAGTGCGGCGGGAGTGGCGATCTCTAACTCGCATCACTAGGGCTGCACACACAGGCTGCTCTTCGCTGTCTTCCCCCGAACTTTCTGTCCATTTTTCTTTGAAATTAAAAAAGAAAACAGCAAACATAAAATATATTTAGATTATAATATTGTCCAAACCCTCCTTTTCGTTTGCTGCAGCACTGTTCGTTGCCCGTCGGCAACGCGAGTAAAAGAAAAGCCGCTGCATTCTCCCCCTTTTCCTTTCTCCTCGGCACTTTTTCTTTTTTTGCAAAACCCCCAACACTATTGATATTGTTTCCGTTTGTTGCCTTTATTATGCCATTTGCCGGCGCAGCGGCCCCAAAGAGGGCCCCCTGCTCACTCCCTCATACCATCGGCGTACGTATGTCTCGTTTCTTTCTCGTTGGTTTAGTAACATGTATAATATTATTTTTTTCGTGCGAAGTGAGCAGAGAACGCTCGCTTTTCGCATTTAATTCAGGTATTTGTACAGCTGAAGCTGCTGCTACTCCCCCGCGTGCAGCAGCAGAAGAGGTTGTTCCTGCTCTGACACCCAGCGGTGAAGAGGAAAGCAGGAAAGCGCTAACACAGAGGTATTTCGCTGCACTTTCGGGTGTATACAGCAGCGCAGATGATTCAAGTTTTAGTGAGTTTCTTTCTGTTTCCTCTGTTAATAGACGGAGGCAAGCTCTAAAAGAAATCGCAGAAAAACTAAATAAATGGAATTCACAAAAACATACAAATGAATACAAAAACACAAAAATCATCTTCTACATGAGACATGCAGAAAGCAGAGGAAATGCAGCCACGAAAAGTATACTTGGATTCGCCGAATATACATGTGAGTTCTTTCTTTTTTTTTCTTTATCTCTACGTACACCTAAACAAACACATAAACTTTTCTGCTGTTTTGGGGTTAATATAAGTTTTTCGTTGTTGCGGTGTACATACACACAGATAGACACAGCTTAGACGATGTATGCAATGCGCCTAATGTATACATGTAGACATACATGCAGACGAGCACAGACGATAGTAAACCCTAAACCCTAAACCCTAAACCCTCGCCGCAGAGGCAGCTAACGAGCATATGTTATGCATCTGCAGCGAGGGTTTAGGGTTTAGAACAGATATATCAGAGTTTACAGATTTCGTGTATTTCGTCGCGTGGAGGTCGTCTACATTTAGGGTTTAGGGTTTAGGGTTTAGGGTTTAGTTTAGGGTTTAGGGTTTAGGGTTTTGTTGCGTTTCAGGGAGCAGGTTCAAGGGGAGAGCTTGGGGCGAGATAGACCCTGCACTGTCAGACACCGGCAGGCAGCAGTGTGCTGCAGCAGGAGCGGAGCTGCTGTATCTGAAGCAGCTGCTGGACGAGGCTCATCAGAGCCAGCAGCAGGCCGCAGAGCCCGCAGCAGCAGCAGCAGCAGCAGCAGCAGCAGCAGCAACAGCAGCAGCAGCAGACGGAGGTTTCTGCATTGAGTCTTTTTTAGTTTCTCCGCTAACAAGAACTCTACAAACCGCCAGTCTTTCCTTCAACTCTGTTGGGGCCGCTCTGAAGTGCCCGCAGCCCATCACGCAGCAGCAGCAGCAGCAGCAGCAGCAGCAGCAGCAGCAGCAGCAGCAGCATGTGACATGGCTGGTACATTCTTTACTGAGAGAGAAGTATGGAAATCTAACAGACACCGGAACAGAAGCTGCAGCACTGCGCATGCGCCTGCAGCAGCTGTACATACACCGCGAGATCGCTCCCGCTTTATTTAATTTTCAGTTGGTTCCGCAGGGAGAGAAGTGGTGGCTGCCATACACCCGCCAGAGCCTGAAGCAGCTGCAGAAACAGCAGCAGCAGCAGCTCCAGATGGAGCTGCTGCAGCAGCAGCAGAAGCAGCAGCAGCATGCGGGCTTGGAGGTAGAGAAGGAGAGACGCAGCAGCAGAGATGGTGAGCAGCAGCGATTGCTGCGAAGCGGCAGCAGCAGCAGCACGAGGAGCGGCTCATTAGACACAGCATCTGAGGCATCAACAAGCAGCACTTCTGCAGCAACAGCAGCAGCAG